TGCCTCTGAGAGCTAGGATTGGAGGCGTGCACAACCACACCCGACTCCATAGAGTGTCTCACTGAATGTGGCTCAGTCATTCAGCTGGACAGGCGTGCTGTCCTGGGATCTATCTGTCTCTCCCCCACGCCCCAAGCTGGCATTACAGATGTGTGATTACTGCCATTGCTCAGTGTTTGCGTGGATGCTGGGATCTGAACTCAGGTTTCCACGCTTACACAGCAAGCATTCACCTGGTGAGCTGTCTCCCCACCCCCACGGACGACAATCTGAAGTTCTCTGTGTCAACTGGGAGAGGAAGCAGGTACGGAAGATTCGCTTGGCCAAAGCGGAGCTATTTTGAACTAAAATATAAAGATCCCAAATCTAGAAGCGTTCCTCAGCACAGGCTTCATGAAAATCAAAATTGCTTAAAGATAATTATTTGACTTTATATTGAGTTAAAGAAGCCGGATATAAAAGAGTGCATTCTGGGTGATTCCATTTCTGTGGAGTTCTACAAAAGGCAAAACTAACCTGTGGGGACAGAACATGAACAGTGGTTGCCTCTGAGGTGCTGTGAGGTGTGAGGGAACTTTCCAGGACGAGGGAAGCACCCTGCATTTTGAAAGAGCTGAAGGATACACCAGGATAAGCGTCTGTCAAACCCTGTCGGGTTGTGTCCCTAAGCTGTGTGGCATTTCAGCGTGTGCTCCAGTAGTGTATTAGGGGACGTGGCTCTGTTGATAGGGAGCATGTCTGTGCACACAACCCCGGCTTCCATCCCCAGCACTGCATACACTGGGTGTGAGGTGCACACCTGAAATCTCAGCACTGGGGAGGTGGAGGTAGGCTAGCCTGGGCTACATGAAAGCCTGTCTCAAAAAAAGGGTACGTTAAGATAAGAAAAATAAATAAATATTGCCGGGCAGTGGTGGTGCACTCTTTTAATCCCAGCACTCAGGAGGCAGGGGCAGGCGGCTCTCTGAATTTGAGGACAGCCTAGTCTACAGAGCGAGTTCCAGGACAGCTAGAAACCCTGTCTTGAAAAACCAAAATAAATAAATAAATACTTAGGAAAAGAAACATTGATCATTGTGAATAATCATCTACTTAAAGAGGCAGATGTCTCTCTGCCTCCAAGTAACTTATCCAGGCAGGCTCCCCTTGGGATTCAAAGCATCAACAGACGTCACTTCATTTCTGTTGACCTACAGCTGCAAAGGATCCCAGAGGTGCAGAAAGTTCATGGGCCTGTCACTGAGGAGGAAGAGGAGAAAAATAAAAAGGAGGCAGAAGGCAGCATCCAGCTGGTCCCTGCTCATCCCTGGCCGGAGCCCAGAGCCTGCTCACAGGCAAGGGATTCGCCTCTTTTCCTCCTTCTCCTCCCTTTCCTCCTCTTCACTGTGCTCTGGGTAGAATTCAGGGCTTTCCACATGCCCGGCAATCACTCTGCCACTGCGGGGTGAGGGTTGATGAGGGCATGCGCATTTGGGGACGATGCTTCTTCATGTGGGCTGGAGAGCACGCTTCAGGGGCTATTCCCACCTCAGTCCTCAGGGCTAGGACAGGATTCAGACCAGAGCCTGGGCTGAATGGGCCATAGGGAGGCACTCTGGGGAGTGGGTGGGCTGACTACAGCCCAGCCGCTGGACCGCTGGACAGGCGGGTGGGGAAAATGAGATTGGTTTGTGCTTTGCTCTGTTTTGTTTTTGAGGCAGGCTCTTAATCTTACAATGTAGCCTTGCCTGGCCTGGAACTCTCTATGTAGACAAGGGAGCCTTGAACTCACAGAGATCTTCCTGTTCCTGCCTCCTGAGTGCTGAGATTAAAGGCATGCACCACCATACCCATGCTGGAAAATTAGACTCATTAATTTTTTTCCATTCTATTTATTTTGTGTGCATGTGTGGATATGTGTGTAGGCATGTATGTGCCACAGTGTTCACGTGAGGAGCAGAGGACAACAGCCGGTGGGACCCAGTTCTCTCCTTCACAGTGCAGGTTCCGGGGTCCATTCAAGCTGACAGGTTTGGTGGCATGGGGTGGCATGGCCTTTCCTAGCTGAACCATTTCAGTGGCTCACGAATGAGAGTATTGTAAGTTCTGTCCTCTGAAATCACACAGGCCCTGAGTGCCAGGGACAGAATGGGTCCTCAGGAGGCGTAGGCTCAGGTCTGCACTGGCCCTGGCCTTGGGTAGAGCCACACTGCCTCTCTGTATGGTTCTCAGGGCTCGGCTTTCGCTCCCTGGCAGACATCTTCCATGCTTTTCTGACATTGCACAGGGTCTGATGCCTACTACCAGCCTGGGTTTCAGTCATTTGGGTCAGCAACTGCTGGTTCTTAGCTGAATATTAGGATCATCTGGTGTGGGAGACCCATTCCCATGTTCTCTCCTCAAGGTACTCTTGAGGAGGGGGAAGTGAGAAATATTTAGATAGGATAGAGGAAGAGAAACAGATAGAAACACAGGATAGCCTCGGGAGGGCCTGGATCCTTATCCACCAGCCCCTTCTGTCTCTTCTAAAGGGCTATTTATTGTGGGGGAATGTTTGTTTTTTTTTTTTTTTTTTTTTTTTTTGGTTTTTCGAGACAGGGTTTCTCTGTGTAGCTTTGCGCCTTTCCTGGAACTCACTTGGTAGCCCAGGCTGGCCTCGAACTCACAAAGATCCGCCTGCCTCTGCCTCCCGAGTGCTGGGATTAAAGGCGTGCGCCACCACCGCCCGGCCGGGGGAATGTTATTTTAAGGTGTGTTACTTTTGATTATGTTGCATTTGTTTAACTCTGTGAATCTGTGTTACTGTGCCTGTCTAAAACATCTGATGGTCTAATAAAGAACTGGGCAGTGGTGGCACATGGCTTTAATCCCAGCACTTGGGAGGCAGAGGCAGGCAGATCTCTGTGAGTTTGAGGCCAGTCTGGTCTACAGAGTGAGTTCCAGGACAGCCAGGGCTACATGCTGAAACCCTGTCTCAAAACAAAAACAAAACTAAACAAAAAACCCTCCCAGAAGACTGTTAGGTGCAACCAAGCCTGAGGCATGACTCATTAGTTAATTCTGGTGTTTACCCATCCATCAAATACAGACAAGGCTCAGCTGATGAGTTAGGTCCCTGATACGACCCAAGAGTCAGAAACAGCTTGAGGAAGCCTCTGTTCTAACCTTTGAGGAGATCATCATGAAAGAGCAGCCCAGGAGACTGTCTCCATGATGATGCCCAATGCTGATCTGTGCTCCTCTTTACAAAAGTCACTGCAGACCTTCCACAGAGGTGGGAGCTCCTTCCACCCCTGGCCTCTGCCTGGCCTCTGCTGACTTTGTCCACTAGAAGGTGGCAGAGGTCATGTGTGTGGAGTTTGGCAAATTGCTTGGTGTGAAGGCAGAGTCATCCCACTGCAGACTGCTCTCACCTCCACATGCCATCTGTAAGTGTGGGGGGTCCCAGAACAACCCTCACATCTGATTATAGATTTAGGGGCTCCCAGGACTCTCAGACTCAATAATTCTCCAGAACATCTCACAGAATTCAAGAAAGTGATGAATAGTCAGCCTTCTCTGTCTTGAGTTCCACATCTGCAGATTCAACCCATCTCAGTTCGAAAATAGTCAGGAAGAAAAAGTCGAGTCGGTATGAATTTGCATTGGCTTCCCCCCATCATTACTCCCTACACAGCACAAGATAATAACTGGTCTCATGGCAATAACATGAGATTAGGGACCAATATCCCATCAAGCTTCACTTTGATAAAAATGCTTTTATTAAAATCATGTGATTTTCCTTTTTAAGATCTTAGGAATTTTTTAAAGCATGGGTGGTACATATGCCCCTCACTCGTGTGTGTGTGTGTGTGTGTGTGTGTGTGTGTGTGTGTGTGTGTGTGTGTGTGTATACACAATTGCAGTTCCTCCCACCCATGTACATGAGCATGTGGAGGCCAGAGGAGGACATTGTGTCTTCCTGAATTACTCTGTCTTTTCTTTTAAAGCAGGCTCTCTCACTGCACCTGAAGCTTGCAGGGTCTCCCACTGCACCTGAAGCTTGCAGGGTCTCCCACTGCACCTGAAGCTTGCAGGGTCTCTCATCTGAAGCTTGCTGTTTCAGCTAGACTGGCTTGTGAGCAAGCTTCTGGGATCTTCCCGTTTCTCTCTCCCAACACTGGCCATGTTGGGCTTTAACATAGGTGCTGGAGACTTGAACTCACACTCTCTTGTTTTTACAGCAGCACTGTTATCCACAGAGTCATCTCCCCAGCCCAGATCTTGGGAATTTTTATCTGGAAAATCTTATGTGCCACATGAGGAGTTTATAATAGGTCTCATCATATTGAACAGCTGTCTGGTCATGGTGACTATTCTGGCTAACAAAACGTCTGGGGCTGGAGAGATGGCACAGAGGTTAGGAGCACTGGCTGCTCTTGCAGAGGACCAGAGTTCAGTTTCCAGCACCCACATTGTAGCTCACAATTGCCTCTATCTCCAGTTTAAGGGGCTCTGCCACCCTCTTGTGGCCACTTGTGGTACTGCATGCACATGGCGCACATACATATAATCATGTAAACACACAGTTAAATACATCTTTATAGAAATATATTATATATAAATATATATTCTAAAAATTGAGCCTGTACCACAACAGCCCTCAGCCGCGATGCCCTGCCTTGCATGAGTCCAGAAATACAAAACAAATGACTACGGACTGAAACCCTGAGCCAAATCAAATGTCTTCCTTTTAAACAAACAAATTCACAAAACCCGGGTTTGCTGAGACACACTCCTGGGTTTCTGGCTCAGTGACTCAGGCATCCAAGGATTTATATTTCCATTGCAGATTCAAGCAATACTCTCACTGTTGGTGAGGGCACCACACTTTGAGCCACCCTGGTGGGAACCGACTAGGCAATCCTGTGAGGCCAGTGATTGGGTCATGGATGGTCAGGTGACTCCATTCTCACCAATGAGTGCTGAGGAGAAGTGTAGGACTGTGGTTCCCGATGCTTTCCTCCCTCTCAATGTTCCTAAGTGTGGGTTGGATTTTCAGAGTGACCTCAGCCAAACAGCGCCACCAAGGAGAGCCAGCCTGGGCCACAGCCAAGTACCCCGAAGACACTACATGCAGAGTAGGCAGGAGACATTGGGGACCAGTGGCTAGCAGTGAGCTTGGCCCTTCCTCCTCTGTTCCTGGTTTGTGAGAAGATAAAGCCCATAGGGAAAAGCCAATTGGAGCCTGAGGCGCAGATACTGTAGTCAACAGCCCCTGAACAGACCTGCCGGTAAGCAAGACCAAGCTGCATGGTCCAGGCTTGGGTAACATTACATACGGTGCCTGGCCTGGCTCCCTTGTTCTGCCTGGAGGGGACCCAGCAAACAGAGGTGGTCTCTGTCTGTCTCTGTGTCTCTGTCTGTCTGTCTCTGTCTCTCTCTCTCTGGTGTGTGTGTGTGTGTGTGTGTGTGTGTGTGTGTGTGTGTGTGTGTGTGTAAAGCAATGACCTTTGCCCTTGGGTCCAAGCTTCAGGGTCAGTGGTGAGTGCGTGGGACCCTTTCTTTGACAGCCAATGTTAGGAGTAACGAAGCCCTAGGCTGTGATGCACCTGCAGGTGCAGGGATGAGGCTGTGGGGTTTTAAGACTTTCTCCCTAAGACATCTCTCCCTGTAGGTGCCCCTGAGTTCTTCAGTGATTTGAGGGGAGTGGTGGGAGGGGGGGGCGTTCCACCTCCTCTGAGGACCCATGGAGTGGGATGGAGGAGGTGGGGGAAATGACTACCTCGTCTTTGAGAACAGAAAGAGATTTCCACTCTTGCCTGTGGCTTAAGAAGACAAATAAACCCTCGTTATTGGATTAAGATCACAGGGGCTGTCGAGGGGCCCACTCTCCCTTCATCCGTGGCGGTAGGATCTCCAAAGAGCTTGGCTGCGCTCCAAACGTCGCCTAGGCCGTCTGGACTCTTTGTTCCTCTTGGACATTATCTAAAAATAAAAATAAGGTCCAAAGCCCTGAGCGAAGGCCGTGCTAACTCCCATGGTGACTGGAGCCATTTCCCAGACAAATATAGGTCTCGGCACAAAGCGAACCTAGGAGGGAGGGCTGGATGGGTGGCAGGTGGGGACCAAGATTGTCCATCTCAACCGCAGTCAGAGCCTCCGGTGCCCAAGGCTCAGAACGAACAGAGAAACAGGAAATTAGAGCAAAAAGGGATAATTTGTATGAAAGCCTGGCCCAAGAGGCTTTTCACTGAAGGAAAATTCATGAAACAGAAAAGTAAATACCTTATCGAAGGGGTTCATTTTGTTTTGTTTTCTGAGACGAATCCTAGGCTGGCTTCAAGCTTTGGTTTTCCTGACTCAGTTTCCCCAGCATTGGGATCACAGGCCTATGCTACTGTGCCTGGATGATTAACTGTCTCAAAGCTGGTGTCCAGCAGGACTGAGCCCATCCATGATACTGCATGACTTTCACTTCCACTAAGCAGCCATTCCCCTGCCTCAGACCCCACCAGTCTGTTTCCTGTCTCTGTTAATTTACCATTCTAGATGTTTCTTTCCTACACACGGGAACATACAGATGGCCCAGATAATGTTTTCAAGGTTCATCTTTGTTTAGTACCTGCCAGAGCTTGTGTGTGCTTGTGTGTGTGTGTGTGTGTGTGTGTGTGTGTGTGTGTGTGTGTGTGTGTGTTTTGTTGTTGTATTTTGCTTTTTATTTTTTGAGACAGGGTTTGGTGTAGCCCAAGCTGGCCTCTAACGCAGTATATAATACAGTATGAAGTCCTGATTCTCCTGCCTCCACCTCCTGAGTGCTAGGATGTACCACCATACCTGGTTTATGCGGTGCTGGGCCTTGAACCCAGGTTTTCCTGCATGTTAGGTAACCACTCTGTGCTCCTGGTGCGTTCTTCCTCACAGCTGGACAGTGCCTCTTTGTGGGTGTTGCACACAGCTTGGCTCCATTCACCATTTTGCCCACTGTGAGCATGCTATTGTGACCATCTCTGACCATGAACTTGCTTTGTGTGTGTGTGGCACATGTGTATGTACATGTTCAATGTGTGTGTGGCAGGGGGGCATGTAGGAGCGCATGTGGAGGCCAGAGGCTGACACGTGTCTTCCTCGACTGCTTCTTTGTTTGTTTGTTTGTTTGTTTGTTTGTTTGTTTTCGAGACAGGGTTTCTCTGTGTACAGTGCCCTGTCACTGACATACAGCTGGCACAGGGGGTGTCTGAAAACAAGTCCTGCAGTTCCCGCCACACGGACTGGCTTAAAAGCAAATCTCCCTGCCCAGCTGTCCTAAAAGTACAATCAGGAGGTGGGGAACAGTGGAGCCATTAAGAATCTCTTTGAGGACGCTGGAGAGATAAACCGCTGGTTCAGAGGACCCAGGTTTGATCCCCAGCATCCATGCTGGGTGGCTCACAACAGCCCCAGCTCCAGGGTTATCCACTGTCTCTGGCCTCTTGGGGCACCTGCACTTGCATGCACACACACACATGCACATAGACACACACATGCACATAGACACACACACACACATACACACACACAAACACACACACGCACATAAAAAAATAATCTTTGAAGCCATGGGACTCAAGTGAGGTTGCAGAAAGCAGACAATGTATCGTACACTCGCACCCGAGGTAGCACGCCGTCTGGCTTGAGAAATGTCCTTGTCTGTCGGGAGAAGCAAGCACTAGAACTTAGGGCTCTACTTGCCTTCCTTGCGTTTCCAGATTTTGCCCATTTTCTGTAGAGAACTGTGGAGAGGAGGCAGCAACAGTCACGCTGACTCAGAGCAGAGCCATGGGCGGAACGGGACCCGACCACGTGCACGCACGCTCTGATTAGAAGGGCTGGCTACAATTGGAACATTAAAAAAAAAAAAATCCCAGATAGCCTAGTGGTTAGAGTGCTTGTCATGCATACATGCAGACCAGAGTTCAGCATTTGGGGTCTGGCTCCCCAGATCATGCGTAAATACTAGGTCAGTATGGCAACCTCTGATTCCAGTCTCGGAAGGTGGAGGCGGGTAAACAGTCCCCAGAGCAAGCTGGCAAGCAAGGCTAGGTACATCACCTAGCTCTGGGTTTGACTGAGAGACCCTGCCTCAATAAATGAGGTAGCATAGTGATGGCAGATGATCCCTAACCTTAATCTCCAGTCTTCACATATGTATATGTGTATAATATGTGCCCACACACATGTAACACACACACACACACACACACACACACACACACACACACAGAAAAAATAAAATCCTAAGATCCTTCTACCCTTTTGCAGGCTCGGAGGACTGGGTCTGGGCTGTGAGCCGGACTACAGTCTCTGCCCTGGCCTAAATCCTTTCCCTGCAGTGAGGCCTTGAGGCGTCACTCACTGTCGTGAAAGGTGCAGCTGCTGTCCAAGGGGACCTAGACTCAGGCCTCCTCCGTCGATACCCAGAACTCTGCAGGAAGGGGGGCAGCCTTGGGGAGGAGGGGGCAAGCTTTTGTGGCAGCTTCCCACCCCTCTTTCAGGTGTAAGATTTCAGGTGTCTCTGGGGCTGTGCTGATGCCTCTCGGACACAAGGGGGCGCTCCGAACACCTCGAGGCATATCAATGTGTGGAGGAAAAGAAAGGAGACCATTTCCTTGTGGAGAGGGGCCACAGTCAGCCCCTCAGGCAGAGGAGGGAGCAAGGAGGGGCTCTGGAATCATCTCTCTTGACCTGGCCAGTCTCCAGAGGACGCTTATTCTCCCTGTGGGAGCTGCTGCCTGGGGTGATGCAGGCTCTGGGTGGCAGGAGCTGAGACGGGGTGCCTCCCGCCAGCTCCCCAACCCTGCTGTCTGGGGTGATGCAGGATCTGGGTGGCAGGAGCTGAGACGGGGTGCCTCCCGCCAGCTCCCCAACCCTGCTGTCTGGGCGCTTCCAGAGGACAGTCAGCGGGAAGGGCAGCTACTTCTGGGGTTGGTAGGAAAGCATGGGACTTAGGTGAGCTGGGCTCTACAGGTCCCCTACTTCTGAAGACTAGAGGACATGTATGACTGTGGCCAGGCCTGTATGAAGAATGCCCCGTGACTGCAGGGAACACGAGCTTGCATGTATATGTGTGCATGTGCGTGTGACTCTGTGTGTGCCTCTGTGACTGTATGACTACAGAGAACACTTGACCTCAGCTCTCTGGCCAGAGCTACAAACACATGTACACATTTGTGCGTGCACACAGACACACCCACACCCAGAGACTCAGACACACCTCGGCTTGTACACACAGAGACACAAATGCACACACAAAACCCTTTCCTAATTAACTGTAGTGCAACCGGATACTGCAGAACTCACTGCAAACTTCCGTAGCGCCCAAGCCAAGCTTCCTCTCCCCAGGTTCCCTATAATCACCTCCACCCTGTCACGACCCAAGCAGAGAAGCTACATTTGCTGCTGACCTCAGGACCCCGTGTGTCAATTGCTCCTTAGCGGTGCCAGGTTTTTCTGGCAGAAGAGGAGAGAGAGATACAGTGGAGCAAGGCCATGATGATGGCAAGATGGATGGCTGGGCACTCTGGCACAGTGGGGGACCGTTCGGGTAGCTGCTCAGGGCAGTGGCCGACAGGACAGTTGTGCGCATTATTCGTGACCAGCGTTCTGGTCCTACCCTGCCCCATTCCTGCAGATCTCCACCTGAGCCTGGCTCTGCTCTGTGAGCTTTTGACTGGAAGAAAGCCAGGAGGTCACTGTTTCCACCTAGACGCCACAGGTCACCTCTGGAAGCTGCCGTGGTCCCGACTCGCTGCTCCTAAGGCCAGTCACCACTCCTGGTGAACTCACTGACCTGGATCCTTGGGAGGTCTCCAGCTCTGTCCTCTTCATTCCTTCTGAGCCTGGCTCTCTAGCCCTGGACACACCTCCTGAGCTTTCTCTGTGCACACATAGGCACACACAGCTCCGCCCTGTACCTTCCAAGTCCATGAGCTGGGACAGCTAAGAGACGATCAGGCCCTGAGCTCTCTGTGGCCAGAGTGGGGTGGGTCCTCACGAAGGAGCAGGGTCTGAGATGTGGATGAGTTCAGCCTGCTCTCTCCTGCTCCTTCCCTGGAGCATCTACTGTCCACCTCACTAGATTCAGGCTCCTCCCTGCCTCCCCTTCAGCTCTACAGTGTCGGATATTTGCCTGCTCTGGAGCTGTCACCCTGGAAGGCTAATTAATCCCCAAGTAACCCTCGGCTCTGTCCTGTGGCCAAGTCCACACAACGGTGAGCAGAGCCGGGGTTCTACCCGAGGCTTCACCAAACCTGGTCCCTGACCTGCTGTGCCCAGTGTGGACCATGTGCAGGATGGTGGTGGCTCTGTGTGTGTGTGTGTGTGTGTGTGTGTGTGTGTGTGTGTGTGACAGACAGACAGACAGACAGAGACAGAGAGCCATAAGACAGACACATACACACAGAAAGAGACAGACAGACAGACGTGCGCGTGTGTGCACACACACACAGAACCCTAAAAGCACATTGACATTGCTCACTTTTCATCCAACTCCATTCTGGATGCTGGATGTGTCTTCTCTTGTCCCTTTGGTTCACACGAAACCAGCCACTGAGCAGGATACTAGTTACGTTACCGTGGGGTGTCTGTGGCTTGGGTTTGGTTTTGTTTTACTTTGAGACAGTCTCACTCTGTAGCCCAGGCTGCTCTGGAACTCACCATGTGTCTCAAGCTAGCCTCAAACTTGAAGCAATCCTCTTGTATCAGCTTCCAAGTGCTGGGTCTACAGGCACGAGCCAAACCCACACCTTAGCCAAATGACTGTTTTATGGATGTGTCAGGTTCCCGGCAGCCAGACATGTAACGACAGCAGTCGTTCAGCAGGCTATGCCCCAAGCTCAGGACCTGTGCTGCTGGGGGTGTCCCCACTTTGGAAGACGCCCCAGTCTGGGTTTCAAGGACAAGAACAATTCTAGGACAGAACTGGCATTAGCTGACGATGGTGGTGGGTCGCGAGCTCTGGGGGCCGGGGGCGGATGGAGGGAGGATTAGAATGCCACACGCAAGAGTTTAGGTTTTTTCTGTGGGCTCTGAGGAACCATCCCAGCAGGGGAGGGACGGCCACACATGGACATCTCTCTCCCCACGCTCTGCTCTGCCAGCCTCAGCACCTTGGAAACCGAATGTTCCCTGGTGGTGGGAAAGAGCAAAATCGACACTTAAAATAAAGCAAGCCCCAGGGCACCCATTCTGTCCCGGGAGGAGGCTGATCCACCACTGGGGGATGGCTGGGTTGAAGCTTGGGAGGGAGGCTCACAGAGAGGGCCATGTGGGTGCTGGTGAAGCCAGGAGCCTCCCACAGCCAGGATCCAGGCTCACTCTTACTCTACCCTAGTGGGTAGAAGCTGAGCCGCCTCCTCATCAAGGGGGCTGAGCTGTTCCTGGTTAGCCCTGTACTGTGGAGTCAGTTTCCCTACTAGTTCAGGAATTATTCAAATAAGCCAACTCCATCATCTTTCAGGAAGCAAGGTTCACCTACCTTGCCTTTTGTATGTGTTTTTCATTTGTTACTTTTTTAAAGACATTTTTGTTGATGCAGATGTGCGTGCCCACAGGCTACAGTTCTGCTCATTTACAGAGGCCAGAGGCCAGCCTTTAGGAGTCGGGTCTCTCCCTCACGTGGGTCCTGCTATCAAACTCAGTCCTTGGACTCAGATGGCAAGCACCTTTATCCATGGAGCCATCTGGCCAGTCCTCACTTTGTCTTTGTGATTTACAAAGCCTGCTGGTCTGTTTTGTTCCCCTGCACTGCCCACAGGCTCCTGCATGGCACATGGCATCCCCTTTCCCGCAAGATCACGGTGCGTGTGACCAACACCTCACTGAATCTATCTAGTGTCAGGTGTGGGTTCTGCTGCCCCACATCCCTAGAGTGGGAGTCCCTTCTTGCCAGCAGGGTGAAGAGGAAGTGAATAGAACAGAATACGTTGCCAGGCAGTGGTGGCGCACACCTTTAATCCCAGCACTCGGGAAGGCAGAGGATCTCTGTGAGTTTGAAGCCAGCCTGGTCTACAAAGTGAGTTCCAGGACAGGCAGGGCTACACAGAGAAACCCTGCCTTGAAAAAACAAAACAACAACAACAACAAAAACAACCAAGAATAGACACTGTCTTTCCAGAAGGTTCCTCAGGTCTCAGTGCTGGAGACAGGAGGAGAGGTGGGAACTGGATACTGAGGCCAGAGAGATGGACCGCCATTGACGTGAAGGACTTAAGGCTCTCAGGGACTGTGGACAGGGACGTAAAACAGAGAAGTCCAATGGGCAAGTGAGAGGGGGCCCTTGTCTGTAGAAGCTGGGGTTGTGGTATCGGGCAATGGAGGCCTGGACTGCAAGCCCAGAGCTCACAGGATATAGGGACATGGCAGAGGCCAGAGTTCCTCTTCTGCTGCCACTGCTGAGCAAGCTGAGCCTTGAAATCGGAGCACAGCTGGGTCTCCTCATATTGCCCTGCCTAGCCTGGAACTCACTGTGTGACTGAACTGGCCTCAAACTTGTAGGAGCCTCCTGCCTCTGCCTCCCAAATGCTGATTGCAGGAGCGAGCCACCACGCCTACTTCCAATTCATGTTTTCTCTTCAAGGGGTTTGGGAGAGATCTCAGATGCCACCGGTACTTAGGGAATTAGCTGTCTGGAAGTGGTTGTGACTTGTGTAGGAATACAGATGAGGAAGGGAGGAGGGGGAGCCGTCCTGGGCACAGTGAGGGGAGCCACAGCTGTCCTGGGCACAGTGGGGGGAGCCCCAGCCGTCCTGGGTACAATGAGGGGAGCCTACAACCATCCTGGGTACAGTGAGGGGAGCCTACAGCCATCCTGGGCACAGTGAGGGGAGCCCCAGCCGTCCTGGGCACAGTGAGGGGAGCCTACAACCATCCTGGGTACAGTGAAGGGAGCCCCAGCCATCCTGGGCACAGTGAGGGGAGCCCCAGCCATCCTGGGTACAGTGAGGGGAGCCCCAGCCGCTGTGGGTACAGTGAGGGGATCCCAGCCTTCCTTCATCCTGCCGCAGTTAAGTTAAAGCAGGGCCGCAGCTGCGGTCTCCTAAGAGATGCTGGCTTCACATCCCACTGTCTTGTGTTTTGTTTTAAACATCTTCCCACTTTTAAAGTGGAACTCAGTTCGAATGCCAATATGCTCACACTGGAGACATGAGTGAAGCATTTCAGCTCAGCGCCTCTGCCTTGAGTCAGCCTCGCTCTCAGGGGCCGCCGCTTCCTACCTCATCAGCAGGCTGTGGACGTCCTTTGGTTTTCTGCTGCGTTGGCTCTGTAGTAACATTGCCTGTTTATTTCCTCTCTAGCATGGAAGGATTTCATACTCTCGTTCCCCCACATCTTCTCCCAGATTCCTCCCAACATGGCATATTCCATTCTTCGGTTAGGTAAGCAGTCACCTGTGGGGGGCCCAAAACAGCTTGACCACACAGCTGCCATGACAGGCTTAGAGACCCAGACACAGCTTCTGTGACCGGCTTACTGGCAGTCAACACCCAGACCCAGGAAAAGCCATAAGCTGACCCCACCTAGGGAGGGCCTCCATCTAAGGAAAAATACTTGACATCCCAAACATTCCAACCAATAGAAAAGGTTAGGTAAGGTGGCCAGATGTCTCTGAGTTTAGCACACACCTATTTTTGTTTTACAGATACCAGAGACAAATGTCAGCCAATCAGGGTCCTGAACCCTGGAAATCCCCTCACCCCAACCTCTGCTATGATAAAAACTCTACCCAGCCTGAGCTCAGGGCTCTCTGCTCTCCCACTGCTTTGGACAGACAGAGGGACCAAGCTCAGAGCTTGAGAATAGAGGCTCTTTGCTTTTACACATGGGATTCAATCTCCATGGTGGTCTTTCGGGGGTCCCTGTGATCTGGGCATAACATCACCTTGTGTGTGTGTGTGTGTGTGTGTGTGTGTGTGTGTGTGTGTGTGTGTGTAAATACTGAAAGGATGATAATTGGCTCTGGTGGCTGGCGGTGGCTCTGGTTGTGGCGTGGAAAGGTCATAGTCACGACAGAACCCAGTATTACTATTCGGAGCTTTATTTGGAGGAAAAGGGGGGGTGACCAGGCCTGGTGAGAGAGAAAGATGGTGGGGTGGGGGAAGAGGGTAGCAGAGCAGGGAGCAGAGAGCAGAGAGAGTGTGGGGTTTGCATCCGGCTTTAAGGCACAGATTGCATGACCACACCGGGCACACTAGTCACCAGCACCCCCTGCTAACGTGAGACCCAAGACCCCGAGCTGTACATGTGCAGCAGTGAGGGCAGGATCCTAACAAATACTAACTTTCCCTGTCTTCTACAGCTTTTTGTTTTTCTAGGTGTTAATTATTTCCTTGGCTTTTAAAAGCGTTTATTTTACTGTATATATTGTGAGCGTTTGCCTGCCTATATGTCTGGTGCTGGTGGAGGCCAGAAGATGGCGTTGGATTCCCCTGGATAACAAAGACTGTTAGGGTCCAGCCCATCTATAGTCTTTTCCCAGAGTTCCAGAAGAGATGCTACCAGCAACAAATTAATTAATCTGAGGGATTCTCGAATAAATCTACGTACACGAAACTCTTTAGTCCATTCACTTTATTCTTCTGAGTCAGTTCTCTCTCTACACAGCTTCTATTCTGTTCTCACACTTAGCTCCTCTCTGTCCCTTCCCCTCCTGTCCTCTCATTGTTCTGTCCAAGTTCCTTCCATCTTCGGCCCCCTCCTCTCTCCCCAGTCCAGTTTAAATACGCATGCAATCCACAGTTCTCTGGCTACGCCACTTTCTGCTCGGGCGGGGCAAGTCTGCTGGTATGGAGGAAGCCTGCTTGATGCACCTGGTATGTGAAAGCCCTTTTGTTCTGAGTTAATTGTTAAAGGGGAAGTCTAGAGATACCACTTGGGCTGTGGAAGAAAAGAAGGTTAAGCTTAATTTGCACAAGAAGCAAAGGTTTGTACCTAACACCACCTAGCCATGGTGGTCATCTCTGTATGGATAGTTACCTTAATTCAGGAGACTAGCAGGTGGTCTGGATGCCTATCTGTCTGCAGTCTGTCCTTGGATGTTGGAGAGGTATCTCAGATAAAATACTTTTGTCTGGAGATGGCCCTAGCCAGATACTGACTAATGATGGTAATTATAAAAAGGCAGAGTCTAATGCTAAAAAATAAAGGAACAAAAGCCTGGAAAGAGGGGTCTTGACTGTGTGACTTGTCAAAACACAGTTGAGGGAAGTTATCCAAATACCTTAATTGTATAGGGAAAAACTGTGCCCAGTGAATGATCAATCACACTGTTAGTAGTTCTTAGAATCAAATGGTAAAGCTATAATAGCACACATGAAATTCATAGCAGGAAATGGCTAATATTCAAAAGCCAATACCACCAAGATTCCTTAAGTCTTGGCTTTATCCTCTGGAAAGGTGCTTGGCTTCTTCCAGGTACAGCTTGTCATAGTCAACTGAATTCCTGCTGTGTATTTCTGCATCCCACAGCACCTGGAACTGGAGTTATGGACAGTTGTGGGCCACTATGTGGGTGCTGGGAAAATGAGCCCAGGCCTTGAGTACTGGCCTAGGGGATTCTGTCTTGGATGCTTGCCTTGGGAGTCCTGTCTTGAATACTGGCCTGGGAGGGGGTGTCAGTCCTTGAGTCCTGACCTAGGGGTCAGTCCTTGGGTCCTGGCCTGGGGGGCGGGGGTCAGTCCTTGGGTCCTGGCCTGGGGGGTGGGGGTCAGTCCTTGGGTACTGGCCTGGGAGTCAGTCCTTGGGTACTGGATTAGGGGGCAGGGGTCAATTCTTGGGTACTTGCCTGGGGTCAGTCCTTGGGTACTGGCCTGGGGGGCGGGGTCAGTGCTTGGATACTGGCCTGAGCTAGCCTTGGTACAATGGTTAATATTGTTAACTTGATTGGATTGGGAAGTGCTGAGCAGGTTAGCAAAGCACTTCTGGGTGCGTCCCTGAGGGGTTTCCACAGAGGACTAAGGGGAGGAGCCTTGTGGGCAACCCATCCCAGCCTGGGAGCCAGAGGGAGAGCAAGGCGGAAAGCAAAGAGAAAAGCCCAAGGTGTCCTGGACTTTCTTTCTCCTCCCCTCTCCTCCTGTCCCCTCCCCTCCTTTCCTCTTCTCCTCTCCTTTCCATCCCCCTCCTGTCCTCTCCCTTCCCCTTTCCTCCCCTCCCCTCTCCTCCTGTCCCCTCCCCTCCCCTCCCCTCCTCCTTGGCCGCTGTGACCTGAGCTCCCCCCTCTCCCGATGGACTGAAACCTCTGGAAACCAGGACAAACCCCGCCTCTCCCGAGCAGTTTCTATTAGTGTCTGTCTACCCTGATGGGGTTACAGGTTTGCTATCTGGAGGCTTTTGAGGGCCCCGTCTCCCCTGCTGCCTGCGCTGCCCTCCAGGCTGCTGCATGAGGACTTGGGGGTCCTGGCTCCAGCAGTTTAAAGCTCCCCAAGAACTCCAACATGCTGCAGAATTCCAAGGTGCAAAGTGCATGGCTTAGAGGTGCCTAGGGGATGACACCCTGGCTGGCCCTGCACATGGAGGCCTGCCACATCACTGGCTGGGAGACCTCAACCCGGGGAGGTGGCTTTCTTGCTGTGCTGGCTACAGCAAGAAAGAGCAGACTGAGCAAGCCAGTAAGCAGCACTCTTCCATGGCCTCTGCATCAGCTCCTGCCTCCAGGTTCCTGCCCTACTTGAATTCCTGTCCTGAGTTCCTTCAGTGATAAACAGCAATGTAAGGAATAAACAGGAAGTGTAAGTCAGACAAACCCTTTCCCCCCCAACCTGCTTTGGTCATGGGGTCTCACGGCAGCAGCAGCAGTAGCCCTAAAACACTTGCTTGGGACAAGCGATGCCCATGGCCCGAGGTGCTGCAGGTAGGGGACCATGGCCGTGTGCCTCCAGGAGTCTTCCTCCAGGCTCCTGGCGCCAGGCTGAGAGTGTCCAGGCACCATGGGAGCCCAGGAGCTTCAGGATGTCGGCTGTGCCTTTGCCTGGAGGAGCCAAACGAGCCGATGCCCTTCTCCCCGCCGCCTCGGGTTCCACAGCTGCTGCTCACGTTTCTAAGCCACTTCCTGTCACTGCCCCTGCTGATGCAGACACGCAAGACCTCAAAAACTCAGGACAGTGGTGCCACGGAGGCCAGCATTATAAATAACGCCCTCCGTGGCAAAGTGGGAGGCTGGGTAGGACACCAGGGAGATCAGCACCCCACCACCTGCAGAGAGGCAGGCTGGCAATGTGCTGACAC